CCCCCCCCCCCCCTCTCCCCCCCCCCCCCCCCCCCCCCTCCCCCCCCCCCTCTCTCTCCCCCTCCTCTCTCTCTCCCCCTCCCTCCCTCTCTCTCTCCCTCTCTCCCTCTCTCCCTGTCTCTCTCTCACCTCTCTCTCTCCCCTTTCCCCTTTCCCTCTTTCTCACCTTCTTGTCATCTTTAATCCCAGCACTCGGGAGGCAGAGGCAGGTGGATCTCTGTGAGTTCAAGGTCAGCCTGGTCTACAAATCGAGTTCCAGGACAGCCAGCATCTCTACCCACTGAGGCATTTTGGTATTGTAAAGCATCTGGTTTGGAGCACTTCCTGTGGCATTCCTAGAAAATGAATACCAGTAGAGACCAGAGGGACCACTGAACACCCACAGTGCACAGGACAGCCTCTGCAGCCTGGGATTATTTGACCAATTAAAAAGAAAACAAGGGCTAGAGAGATGGCTCAGAGGTTAAGAGCACTGACTGCTCTTCCAGAGGTCCTGAGTTCAATTCCCAGCAACCACATGGTGGCTCACAGCCATCCGTAATGAGATCTGGTGCCCTCTTCTGATGTGGAAATATACATGGAAGCAGAATGTTGTATACATAATAAATAAAAAAAGACAACAAAATTATAAAATAAACCTGGTCCCCAAATGTCCATAGTGCTGAGACTGAACGATCCCGTTTTCTAACGCTGGGATCTCTACCATCGGCAAACTAGAGAATGTCGAAATCTAATGTGCATTTTGTTTCGTCGTGAGTTTGGCTTTGTTTTCAAGTTCAACTTTGATGTATTTACACACTCATGATTGTTATGTTTTATTCCTCAGTGGGTTTTTTCCTCATTGTGGAATACCCCTGTTATTGCAAAGCTAGCTTGTCTGATAGCAGCAAAACCTTCCTAGTCCCCAGGCCAGTCTTGACTTCTCTGTGTGGCCCACGTTGATCTCCAACCTTAGCCTCTCTAGGGCTAGGATTGCAGGTGTGTGCTGCCATGCCTGAACTACTGTCCTTAGGGTAATTTTTGTAAGGTCCTGTCTTTCTTGTCTCTTGACTTTTAGCCTCCTTCATAATTATATTTGAATTTAGTACCTGTAAACATCTTATAATTGAGTCTTGAAGTTTCAGGGTTTTTTTGTTTTACTTTGACGTGTCTACTTTTTTTTTAAAAAGCTGTGTTTTATTTTATGTGTGTGGTTGTTTTGCCTGCATGTGTGTCTGTGCACCACCTGTGTGCTGTGCCTACACTGGCCAGAAAGTGTTGGATCCCCTGGAACTGGAGTTATAGACAGTGTTAGTTTCTGTGTGAGTGCTGGGAATTGAACCCAGGTCCTCTGGAAGAGCGGTAGTTTCTTATAACCATAGTGGTATACGTGGACCATTTACTTATTTTTCTTGTTTTTTGTTTTGTTTTGTTTTGTTTTTTTGTTTTTGTTTTTCGAGACAGGGTTTCTCTGTGGCTTTGAAGGCTGTACTGTAACTAGCTCTTGTAGACCAGGCTGGTCTCGAACTCATAGAGATCCGCCTGCCTCTGCCTCCCGAGTGCTGGGACTAAAGGCATGTGACACCAACGCCCGGCTTTTTCTTGGTTTTTTGAGACAGGGTTTCTCTGTGTAACCCTGGCTGTCCTGGAACTCATTCTGTAGACCAGGCTGGCCTGGAACTCACAGAGATCCCTGAGCTCTGGGATTAAAGGTGTACGATACCACCACCTGGCTCCATTTACATATTTTTAATAACTTTACTGAAAAATAACTTGCATACCACATACAACCTATCTTTTAAATAATTCTGTGACTTTGCTATACTAACAAAGTTGGCATCATTACCACTATTACCTTTAAAATGTCTTCATTATTCCAGAAAGAAACCCTATGCCCTGATCATTAGGTCCCAGTTTCCTCATCCTCTCCTCCAGCCCTAAATAACCACTTGCCTGCTTTCTGTCTCCATCCATTTGAGCCCTTTATGTCAGCGGAATGGTAACAATGTGAACCTTTACAACTGACTTCTTTTGCTTCATGTTTTTCAAGATTACAATCTTGTACGTCTGTCAGTATTTCATCCATTTGATTGCCAAATAGTGTGCCACTAAGTGGATATACCACTTTTTTGTTTGTGGTAAAGGAAGGG